AGTTTTGCTAGAGATTCCTTTTTTACTGTCTTATTAGAGATTTTAGTTTAATTGATTTTCTTTATTGGGTGTTTGTTTTCTGTTTATTTTTGCTATTTCTTTACTCTTTTTTTAGTTGAAGTATAATTGATATACAATCGTATATTGGTTTCAAGTATTCAACAAAGTGGTTCAACAGTTCCTCATATTATAAAATCCTTACTCTAACTTGTGCAGTTACTCTCTGTCAACATAAGAAACTGTTTCAGAACCACTGGCTATATTCTCCATGCTGCCTTCTAGTTTTCTTTCGGCTTACTCTGTATTCCTGTTCCAGCTTTTTGAGACCAATTTTGAGCCTGATGGTTTTTGTCTACTTTCCCATTATCAATATTTATGTATCTTTGTATCTCATATATTTTAATAGTATTTTCATTATCATTTGGTTCTGAGTATTTCCTAATTTACTTTATAACTTTGCAATTGATGGTGAGTTAATTATCAAGGAAATGAGGTTCATGGGGATTGTGCTACAGAACATGTATGATACCAATTCTTTTAATGTTATTTCCTGCACTATAATCTTCCCTAGGATTTTGCTCGCCAGGATTTTGATGTTACCCACTTTCACTTCAGTGTAGTAAAAAGGAAACTTTTGTTTCATGTTCCTCTTCCTGGATTATCCCAGCCTTTCCTTTGTTCTTGGTTGTTCTCCAGTGTCTTCATACAGTTGTGTTACACATTTGGTTTGTATCTAGAATCATAAGGAGCGATGGACCCATCGTTCTGCTCCTGGCAGGTGTAGAAATGATATTTCCTGCAACCCTGTAGCTTTCTTTTGATAATCAAAAGGTATGAGTACATATAAGAACATGCTAAGGGTGGCTTGTGGGTTGAGTTGAGCGAATGAGAACTAGGTCATAAATTAAATCAATAGTATTGAATAAATATGTATATCAGTTGTCAAAATGATGTTACCCATGTACAGGTTGGGTTTCTGGGAAACAGACTTTGAGATGGAGACATGTATACAGCAAGTTGATCAGGGTGAGTACCCTTGGGATCAGTACCTGTGGAGAGAAGGGAAAGAGGCAGGATTGAACAGAGAGAGAAACTGGGCTATGATATAGTATGAAAGAAGATGCCAGCTGACTTCAGGCAAGACTCTGAAGAGTTGTCCCAAATCAGGGTGAAAGGCTGGGCCTTTATACTCCTGCATCATTGGATGCAGGCTGCCCCAGAAAGAGGTATAACCATGGGTGATGAATCTCCCTTAAATTGATATCATGCCAAAGATGACCAACAGCTGAGGGCTGTTTGTTGCTAGCCTGTCTAGCACTGGATGAATAAGTTCTTTATTCTCAAAGGGGAAAACACAGTATCTCTTACACTGCCAGAATTTCAGTGGCTTCTAACAGTAAGCATTAATTTCCTGTATATTTCTCTGTAGGTTGTCTAGGATTCTGAACTAGACTGGCCTGATTTAGGTGTCCAGCTGCAGGTTGGGTCCAGCTTTGCTCATTTTATCTTTCATCCTCTGTTGACAAAAGTCGGTAACATGAGAAGGCAAATCCAAATATACAAACACATGTCGAGGCTGTGTTCCATCACATATTATTAACATCCTATTGGCAAGTCACGTGGTCAGGCCCAACATCAGTAGAGTAGAAAAATACCCTCCTCTGGAGGTCCAGGGGAGGGAGGGACTATTTGCTGAACAGTAATACAGTTTACCATAGTGTGATTCTGCTTAATGATCAAAAGATGAGAAGTCTACTGCCAAGATTTCATTGTCAGTCTTTCTCCTAAAATACTTCTGTTTGTCATCTCCATCTGTTATGAATGAGATGAAATGTGACAACACCTTCACCACTATTTGGCAGAGAGAACAGCTTGTCCTGAGTTCTGCTTTTTAAAATTTAGATTTGAATGGATCTTGTCATGTGTATCTATATCTCTATTGAAAAGATTGTATCTTTGCAAAGTATTTATTTAGAGGGAAGGTTTTCAGGTTTTTTACATTTCATTTTAAATTCTTATTTTAAATTCAGGTATGCATACAGTAAAGTGTATTTATCAAGTACACTTACGTGCATGACTTAGAAATTTTTATGTATACATCCATCTATGTAATCACAACCCTGATCTAGATAAGGAATATTACCAGAATCTCCAAAGGTTCCCTCATGCCCTTCCCCAGTCAGTGTTCTCCCTTACTCAGGTAATCATTATTCTGACTGCTTTCACCACCACTTGTTACTTTCCTCAAAGTTCATATTAATGGAACCTGTATGTTCTTTTACATGTAGCTCTTTGAGTTTTTACTATCTTACTGATAAACTGTAAGTCATTGGCTGTATGTCAAACTCCTCTGTGTTAGAAAGTATATTCTGTGTTTTGTATTATAGATTTTTAGGGTAGGATTAGAATATATAAAAGTCCATTTAGAAGAAACTCCTATGTGTGTCAGAAAGATGGGGTTAATATGGACTCCTAGAAAATAATGTGACCCTCTGGTTTCCTATGTGAAGTTGGTCATTGATTTCAAAAGAATTATTCCCTAGAAATTCCGTAGTGCATATGTCTAATGGGATGGTTATTTTCTATGCATAGTGATCATTACTGCACACTCTGGGCTGTCGTATAAATGTAGGCTTTGAAGGTTTCATAGCTCCTGGTCCAATTCTATTTGATTTGTAACACAACGCAGGAGCTAGTCTTCAAAACCCACACGATTACTTCAGTGTTCAGTAACACAGGCACACTCTGAAAAGAACAGAATCTTTAAAACAATCTTGTCACTTGCAGTTTTGGTCACAATCGCTTAGAAAGACTTAAGTTATTACCTTGACTCTTTGAAGCATTATTAGAGAATAACCCATCATAATTTTAAAAGGTGCTTATAAGAAGAGCATTTTCATTCATCTAACATGAACAAAAGACTGAAAATCCATTCATGCTTTGAGTGGTTGGCATATCAGCTGAGAAAAATCTTCATTTAATTCTGTGACTTTCAGTTTCAGAGCAACTGTTAAGTATAAAAAAAAAATCCACCTTCTGAGGAATCTCATCTACACAGCTACTTTGTTTGATTTATTGATTTTGAATACCATTTGATCTTTTTTAGTTTGTTACCATTGTAAATTAAGGAGTTTTAAAAAAATCATTTACGTTAAATTATTAATTGAAAAGATCCCCAAATGCTATTGAACTTTGTTTTCATTTTCACAGATCAGTTACTGAGAAACAATAATTACTTAGTTTCAGGGATGATGTAAAAGTGTGTGACAGTGTACATGACAGTTAAACTGCCCAATCTGTCAAGTGAGGTTAGCTAGAGAAGTGGAATTAAGTTTGCAGAGCACAAAGAATAAAGATGAATTCTAATATTTTTGTAACCCCTGCTGAAGAAGTTAGTCCATGATTGTGACACATACTCACAATCTGAGTAATCGATTTCAAAAGAATTATTTCCTAAAACTTCCCTAGTGCGCATGTCTGATAGGATATTTATTTTCTATGCATAGTGATCATTACTACACATGGTCAGTGGTCTAGCTGTGATTATAACTAGGAAATTAATCATGAAATCCCTTTTAGCTTTATTTTGTGTAATCCAATGATTTATTTTAAGTGAAACGTCAACCCTTGTTAAAACACCTAAACATGTGCATGTCCCAAATCCTGCCTTTAGCTCTGTTAACAAATTTGTACTCTATCCTTATTCAGTATCTTAATGTATCACAGTGTAAAGATGTATTTTTAATGCATACATTAGCTAATAATTTTTTCTCTTTAATGGATTAACATCTTTGATATTTGAACTTAATTCTTTGCTCTTTTACCAGTAGGGAACTGTTTACTGTTCCCTGCCAGGTATTTATGGATCACTTATAAGCTAAATGTTTAAGAGGTAAATTACATAGGTGTGACATTATCCCCATTTGTGACATTTTTAATAAATATCAGAAGATACTTTGGGTAAAAGGTGTAGGACTTGGCTTTTGATTGTTAGAAAGTTTAAATAGAAGTAATTCTTACTGGGCGAGGATCTGGTTACCTTGCCAAGCAAAGCTGTACCTCACTTAGCATGCTTATGCAGATGGAACCAGCTGTCCTGTTCTGCAATTTTCCTGCTACACTTATAACTGTGTATGCATGTTATGAATGAATCTCTTTCTCTTCAGTAGAAAAACCATCAAAGTTCTTCAAAACAAAGTTTAAGAGCTTAAGCTTATTCCCTGCTTGTATGGGAGGAAAATGTTTATTTTTTTTTAATAAAGTAGATCCAAGGTACTTTTGCAAAAAGCCAATTATATTATCCTAATCTCTTTTTCCCTCTTCCCGGTTACTCAAGTCACTCTCCCTTGAAATATATAGGAAACTCACACCAGCCTAGATGTTTCAAGCAAACCTGGTATCTATCTATTCTTGGTCTTAGACAATCTTAACCAAGTTACTGTTTTTGCATGGTTATGTAATTTTGGGGGTTTTTGTTCAGCATGGATGTGTGTAATTTTGTTTTGTCTTAACCATCATTCTCAATTCCACTGTTTTCTTTCCATCTCTTGTTCCTCATACTTCTTTCTTTTAATCTAACCTAAGAATATTTTTTGCTCATTCTCTGATACATAATCTGTTTTTCTCTTGTCAAGGAAGGCTGTGCCAACCTTGTACAACAGCTGAAATGACTTTGGCACTTTTAATCAGAAGTATGGTGAGACTTAATAGAGTCCCAATTCAATACTTAGAGGTCTGAATCTTTGTGGTTAGGTTGCTGTAACAGATGAATTCATGTTTGAAAATACACACCTTAAAGGGAGGGTACAAATCAATATTTTCTTAAAGCAACTGATATTTTAAATAAGTAACTTTGTCAAATTTTTCTTTATTTTGTGACTTAAAAAATAAACACTACCTAAGTATATTATTGTTAATTCAGTACATCGTGTATTTTAGTAAGTATTTCAGATATTAAATAATTTATGGTTGATCTTTTCTCTTTCGTTTGCTTTCTTTAGTTTCATGCTATGGATACACTATATAGGCACAGCTATGATTTGAGTAGTGCCATTAGTGTCTTAGTACCACTTGGAGGACCTGTTTTATGCAGAGACGAAATGGAAGAATGGTCAGCCTCTGAAGCCAGTTTATTTGAAGAGGCACTGGAAAAATATGGCAAAGATTTCAATGACATACGTCAAGATTTTGTAAGTAGAAAATTGTAAATAAAATGAAATGGGCTGGGGACATTTTATTTCATTGAGAAATCTGTTAAGCTTTAAGGTATTCATTTAGCAAGTCTGTGACTCAGTAATTTTTATGTGCTCAACATAGACTGAAGTCCAGTCTTGTGGGAGGGGAGAGAGGGAAGTTGACATTTGTTTTGGAAAGTAATTGTGAGTAAGACCCAGGGTCTGGAGGCCCTGAGTGCTTGCTGTAAACTTTGGCGGTATGGATTCATCCTTCTTCACCTCTTTCTGAGTTCCAAATTTTAAATATGGACAGCTTTCCTAGCCAGTTACATTACATATTTCTGACCTTTCCTTATTAAGCTTATTGCTCTCCTTTAGGCCTTCAGTATTTTTCTGGTTGCCTTAATCGTTGCGCCTGAATTTGTTAAGGACCTTTAGTATGGAAATGACCTGTAGCAAGCAGAATAAAGTTTACTTCATGGGTTTTCTTTCTGTTTTTTTTTCTTACTGAAGTATCATTGGTATTTCCTGGGTGTGTACTCCAACTCCTCTTAGTGATATGCAGTATCTTACTTTCATTTTAAGTACTAGATAATCTTGTCTACTGTTCTGTATTACTTTTTTGTATTTATGGAGTTGCTCTTTAATTAAGCTTACAGTCTCTTTGAAATGGGGGACTTTCTATGAGAAGTCCATAAATAGCATTTTATAGCAATCACCATTTTTGTTAAATTATGAAGATAGTATCTTTACAGAATATGAAATATATGATGTGAGCTAATATCCTTTCTTTTATGTTGTTGCATCTTTTTATAAAAATTATTTCTGATGCAAAATCATTACTTGTAAATGTGGGTTGATAAATCCTAACACAATAGATATTTAAAGTGTAGTCTCACTGATACTCTTCTGGCAAAACTTTACTCATACCCAAATTGTTATATGTCCAGATTTCAATTTATAGGAATGTGCAGCTGAGAATTTTAAATGTATTGGCAACATTTAGCTTCAGATGGCCAGAATAACACACCAGTACAATGTTATTAATATAGCAGTTATTAATATAATACAGCTATACCACTAAATAGAAACTGCAAAAACAAAATCCCTTAAAGAACAAAATCTGCAGGTCTGTAAAGAAGTAGAAGATGCGAAACACTTGAGTGAAACTACTTTTCCCTGCCCTAAGTGTGACGTGCACGTTTGATGTCCTAGTATTCATTCTAAACTTAATTCAATTCCACAAATGTTTATTGAGCACCAGCAACATGCCAGGTCTTCAGGTAGGCACTAAGTATGCAACAGAAACTTAACATGGTCCTTACTTCAGAGAATGAGTTATCATAGTCAAGATGAAGAGATTCAGTGGTATATACCCAAAAAGTATAATGCAGTTATTTCTGTCACTAATATGCACAAGTATTAAGGGAGTTTGAGAAGGGATCTGTTGGTTGTGCCAGTCAACTCAGGAGTGGCTTCACAGAGTTAACAGGCATTTCAGCTGGATCCTGGAGGTTAAGGGAGAAAACAACAGATTGAAAAGTATGTACTGAGGTGTGAATCTTGGTGGACAGTGAGTGCCTTGTCTTTCCTAGTATCTTTTTAAGGCTGAAGCTTAGATCATCAGTTTGAAACCTTACTTCTGATGTAATCGTTTATTGCCTATATTTGGCTGACAGTGATTTCAGCTTGGTCTGGAGAACTTGCTGCTGTCCTCTTTGAAGAGATACTTCATTTGTTACAGATTCCTTTTTTTTTCTCTCTCTTTAAATGCACTAAAGAAGTCTCTATGGCTTAAAATATGTAGTTTCTGATGAGAAGTTCATCATGTATGTATGTAAACGTTTTTTTCTCTTTACTTTTGGTTTTTAGCAGTTTTACTACTAAGCGTGCCTGGGTATGTTTTTCTTTGTAGTTATTCTACTTGCAGTTCACTGAATTTCCTTGAACTGAGATTTGCTGTTTGTATAGTTTGTACTTCTAGTTCTGTCTATCTAGAAGATAGCTCTGTCTTCTACACTCACTCTTTTCTCTGCTCAGTGTCTGGTATTCTGATAAACTCGTTAAAGGAATTCTTCAAATATGATGGCATGTTTTTTTCTAGCATTTATATTTTATTTTTTATGCTTTTTAAAAAATCTCTACTTGAATTCCCAAACTATTAATGTGTGTTGTCATCCTCTAATATAATTAATTAGCCTGCAGTTGGGCCAGGTTTAGATTTCGCTGCTGTTCTGGCTACCTTCAGTGTACCACTGTAGTGGAAGGCCTAAAATTTCATGGACTGCCTTGATATCTTTGAGCTTCACAGGAACCCAAAAGCTTAACTGTGAGTTCCCCAGCTTTTGCTAGATGTGCCCCTCACCCAGCAGGGAAGGCTCCCCGGCTGGCTAGCTCCCCTAGCGCCCCACTCAATCTCCAGCCTAACAGGTTTCATTTCCCTGTGAGCCTGCAGGATTATTCAAACAAGCCAATCACATCCGCACACAAGAACCCTCTTCAGTAACAAATCAGGGCACACCTCATCCCCTCGGTAGACAAATCCTCACTCCCTGGCCCCTACTGGCTCCTGTTCCCAAGTGTGACCCCGTGTGTCCCTCCATTGTGTCCTCTTCCCCTGAGCTGTGAGTGTATATGACTCATAAGCTGCTGTTATTCCCATCAGTTTTCTCTCGGGTGTTGTGTGTTTATGTATGGCCATTTTACACTGTTCTGAGGGGCAGGTCCCTCTTTCACGGAAGAGGTGAATGGTAGGCAGTCTGAACATATACAGACTGCAAATTCTTACCTATGCTTAATGTGGGGCCAGGAACTTGGAAGAGTTTTTTCATGTCCTGTCTCCACCTCAGCAGGCCCTGCACCGCAGAACCTCTCTCTGTGGTTTTGCCCTTCTCTCTGTGGTAGAGTGGTGTGGCTTGTTACTGACTGCAAGATGCGGGGTGAGGGTGTGGGTGGCTTCTTAGTTGTCCTGTTCCACCCCAGCCTTCGGCAGGCTGGGTGCCTGTCATTGGAGCTCCTGCAGCATTTCTCCTTTTTGCCCAGCTCCCTATGGCATCCAGTCTGCCTCGTGTTGCCTTTTATTTAGGCCAGGGTTCTTAGATGTGAGCAAATTCCTGCCCCTCTGGCCCCACCCCCCAATGGCCCCTGAACTTTGCTTGGGACCTGGGGCTGGATGGTTTCCAGCCTATCTCTAGTGGCAGACAGCTTTTGCTTTGTATGAGCTAAGAATCTGGGAATCAAGGGCTTTTCTTGCCCAGTCTCCAGTAGCAGCTGATCACAATTTTGTGCACCACATTGCCACCAGTGGGGACTTTCTGAGGTCTCTTGCCTTGTCCCAGTTCTTTCTGCAGAACACCTGGAGGAAAGGGGGTCTGTGGGTTCCCTCTGTGTACCACTTTATTCAACTCCATCTTACAAAGTTTGATAAGTCATGTTTTCATTTTCATTCCTTCAGAATACTGTTTTTCCTTCTGATTTTCTTTTATGAGTCATGGATTGTTTAGAGTTAAGTTCTACATATTTGTGGGGTTTTTCCCCATATACTTTTGTTACTGAATTCTAGTTTTAATTCTGTTGTGGTCAGAAAACATAATCTGTAAAACAAACAAAACCCCAAATTTCATGTCTTTGAGATTTGATAGATTCATACCTAGTGTATGGCTTATTACGCTAAGTGTTCCATGTGCTTTTGAGAAGAACAGATATTTTGCTATTAGGTAGAATGGTCAGATATATTGATGATGTTATTCAGGTTTTCTGGAGCCTTACTGATTTTTTTTGTCTATCTGTGAGAGCAGTATTAAAAGTCTCTAGCTATAATTGTGGATTTTTCTATTCGGTTGTATTAGGTTTTTGTTTTCATTGTGTTGAATATCTTTTATTAGGTACATACATGTTTAGGAATGATTGCTATGTTCTTATGATGAATTGACCCTTTTATCTTCACATCATGCTTCTTTATCCATGCTAATACTCACTGTGGTGAAGTTTACATTATCATCTGTTAAATACAACCACTCCAGCTTTATTTACTGGTTACATGATATTTCTTGTTTCCATTCCTTTACTTTTATTTATGTCCAGAATGGGCTTCTTATAGACAGTATACAGTTGGGTCCTTTTGTTTTCATCCAGTACAACAGTCTGTGCCTTTTGGAGTGATCAGATCTCTTCTTACCTTTAATATAATTATCAGTATTGGTTTAAATCCATCATCTTACCATTAACTTTCTTTTTGTCCCTTTTTTGTTGTTCTTTTCCTGTTTCTTTGATTAATTTTTAAATTACCACTTTATCTCTTCTCAAGTGGCTTACCAGGTGAACTTCTGTTTTGTTTGTTTAGCGGCTTTCCGCATGCGTTGTGGATACGCTGCAGTCTCCCTTAGATCAAATACCATTCAGATCTTGGAGACTGTAAGGGCCATACGACAGTACACTTCCAGTTGTTCCCTCCCATTCTCTTTATTTTGTCATATATTTTATTTCTGCCTATGTTCTAAGTCCCACAGCATTATTATTCCTGTTTTTTGCCCTTAGGTGTGATCTTTTAAAGATATTTTTAAAAATACCTTTTCCTCCCCATATTTATTTACTTATTGCTATTTCAGTATTTTCTTTTAAGCATTTCTGCCCCTTTGTATTTCTCTACCTATTTTCACATTCATGACCACCAACAGGGGCTTTCTCAGGTTTTGTGGTCTGACACAGTAAACTCTTGTTGGAGATCTTTGGCAAACATGGGTGGATCGCCCTGGTGTCTAGACTTCCCATAGACACTAACACTGTCTAGCCCACTGTTAACCTTTAAGAATTGGTTAAATTTTAGTTTTCTTCTTACTGCCCTTTCTCTTTGTCACCTCTTCTGTGCACTGTCAAAGTAAAAATAGCTGGAATCCTGTCTTTCCTTGGAGTGGCTTTGGAATTGTGTTCAGTTGATTATCTTGTAATCGTAGCTCTGATGGGTCTGGTAACTGGTATGGTTTTGTAGATTATCTGTTTTTTCTCATTTTTAGGGTGAGAGTGACATTCTCTTGTGGATTTCTACAAATTAAGGAGAAGCAGGACCTGAAATATGGAAAAGAACCTTAAAAATTTAAAGTGTAAAACAGCAAAGTCTGTCTTCTTTCATGCATTCAGGTCCCTTGCTACAGGAATTTCTTTTAGCAGAGGGTATTTCCTAGCTATTGTATGATTCAAGCTTCACTTGCAAATAAAATTAAATGAGCTATGTTAGACAAAAGGGGATTTAATTTTGGCAATTAGGTGCTTTAAATCACTGATGTAGGGTTAGAGAAATAGGCTCCAGGATGGGCTTAAGAATAATTCCACAGAAATGATAAGTGAGCTCCTAACCTCTGTCCCATATGGGAACTAGGAAGCCCCGAGATTAATTTCTGCTCCAGGGTCATATTACTGTAACCATAATCTTGAGATCAGGAAGCCTGTAACAGAACTGATTGATCGAGAATGATTTTGCCTTCTACCTCTGTGCAGCACAAGGATGCCTTAGGTACCATCCTCTCTCTCCCTGCTTAATTCCCTTCTGAATTTCTTCATACATGTACATCTGACTGGAAGAGGTAAGTCACAAGGAAGTTTTGGAAATAAAACATTTGTGTATAAAGGAAAATGAAGTAGAGAGAGACTGAAAAGAATATTGAGCAAGGCATACATGGAGACAAAACAACATCCATTTGAATGAGCTGGTTTAAGGAGGAAGAAATTTATTACAGAGTGTTAGAGGCTAACAGAACCTCCAGGAGGGCCAGAGATCCAAGTTTTGATGCATCACAGCCAGGGCTTGAAAAGCCAAAAACAGCATGTCACCCCACAGTGGCAGCCTTCTAGCAGAAACCCTACATCTGTTGCCTGCCATCAGTCTTGCCTGATTTCTGCTCGACCCCGATCTCCAGCAAAGGCCACATATCTAGTGTCTGTTCTTAGAACATTTCACTTCTTACCTCTTTTTGTATTAGCTAGAGCACTCTTGATTATGGGAGAGAGAAACTCAACCTCACCTAGTTTAGAATAAAGGATAAATGTATTGGTTATATTAGGGTTCTTAGTTGTTCTTAATACAGAACTCACTGTATCTAATTTAAGCATAAAGGGATATATAATATTAGGTTCTCATAGAATCTCTGATAAGACTAGAAAACCAGGCTTGGATGTTACACTTCCAAAAACAGTGGAAATGCCCATGCCCTCCACTACTTGGTCTCCATGATATTAAGCATGGACAGCAGAATGGTTCACACAGATGCCGTAGAAGAACATGATGCCTCAATGATTGATCTTGCCAAACTGTCCAGTCTCCCTGCATGTAGCCTCCTCCTGATGATGTTCACCTCTCTATCTAAATGTCATTCAGGTTTGTCAGCTTGCCTAAAACTGGCCTGTATGTCTGCATCCTTGTTCAAGGGTATCTGGGGAAAATTTAGAGTTTCAGGGAAGGTAAGGTAGAAGTGGGCTGGAAATGGATGCACAGTATCTGCTACCACCTGCTGCTCTGGCTGTTCAGCATCCATCCTTGCTTTTCATACATGCCTCCTTTCCATACATCAATTTTTAAACAATAGTACTTATTGCTGAATCATTCAAGAATATGGCCATTTCCTCACCTGGGGAGGCCCAAATTCAGTGTCACAGCATCGTCTCTGGTTGATGTTTATTCCTCCTCTGGTTTCAGTCACAAACCTGTCTTTCTAGCTTGAACTTCTGCATTAAATTGTAAAGACAAAATCACCAAGAGACCTTATATAAAAATAGAAAGGGAATTGGGGTGCAGAAGGAAAAGAATTATACCAAGCAAGAAAGGAAATAGAGATAACTTCTTAAGTCTTCCCTTCTCCATTTCTGAAACCCATTCTGAGGCTTTCATTGGCATTCAAAGTGAACCCCCCCTCTCCCCCCTCCCCGATTATTCTCCTTCCCTTCAGTCCCCTACACACCAAAGTTCTTAATCTGGTAGGGTGACCAAAACCTTTATTCCTGAAGGTTCTAAACCCTGGGTTAGAAGCAGGGTTCTGTGGGAATAAGTCAATCTTAAGTCTGTGTTAGCTAATGTATTACAGGCAGTAAAGTCAAATCATATATAGAATAATTGTCTTACTCAGTGAGAATAGAGCTGCTCTTCCAGGATGCTGAGAGTCTGATGTAACTGACACATTATCAAGAATGGTGCCATGTTGGAGGCCCAGTGTACTCTATTCCTGCAAACTGGACACCTGGAGTATCAGATCAGATTTGGTGACAGGACATCATGTAGTGGTACCTATGTGTAATCTTTCTCTTCTTGCCTCCGTGTCCATTTTGTTTATGTGTCCTTTGAGCAGTCATTGTTGTGGCTACGTAAAGAGGCTGGCTATGAGGCTGGCTGATAGCCGTAGAGGAGATCATCTTATCTACCTAATACTATTGAAAACTTTCTCTGCAAAGGGAGCCTTTGAATGAGCATGGGGATACAAGAATCAGCACACTGAGGCCCATCCTGAGGTGTGTCCCACAGACTGCCTTCCTAAGCCTCATGGCTACCAGCCCTCTAATCTGACTCCTTCAAGTCTCTGACCTGTGATAGGTAATAAGCACTGCCGATGAATGGGTGTGGAGTTGTACTCCTCCAACTAAAAGTAGAAACCCAGATGTTCATTCTAATGTTCCACCCTCCAAAAGGATCCCTCCTCACTGTGCTTCAGAGCCACTCCTGCTTGGGACTGAAATGCTGCAGCAGTGTAATTCTGTTTGGTGCCAATATATCATGCGAAGCCATCTGCCACATTCAGATTTTTTTCCTTCTCAGTTGCTGTGTCACAGGGAACTCCCCTGAAGCTATAAAAGAGGGTCAAGGGGGAAGTGATAACTTCATCTGCAGTAGATAAATCAGGATATGTTACTTAGGCATTCATGACCTACACTTTTCCTTGATAACAGAGTGGTTGGTGGTGCTGAGCACAACTGATTAGGACTTTATGGCTTAGATGAAATCTGGCTCTTGCTGAAGCTCAGGGTACATGATTACTGGTTTCCTTTACTTGGGCTTCCAGGTAATTGCACGCCAGGGGCTATTTTCAAAAGAGGAATAGTTAGGAGGTGAAGAGTTCTCAGCTTGCTTAAAACCCCTAGGGGACTATGCCAGTGACTGTTCTGTGAGGTCTTAAGCTTGCTCTTGCCATACGTTCCATTCACCATCTCTTAGAGACTTTCAGCTCTCATTAGATTGCTTGTTGAATTGGAGAAAATTGTATTTGCTTTTGCTGCAGTGCAAATACCAATGGCTGTGCTGATCTGATCCTGCAAGGAGACCACATTGGTAACTACTGTTGGAGTTGACACCCAGTTCAGCTTAAAATAATTTGCTTTCTCTAAACTCCATCTGTTTGCTCTTAGACCAAACAGGTGAGTTAAATGTGGAGTGATAGGAATGGCATGGAGGTTGTACAAGTGGGTTATAAGCAGACCCCTAGCTGCCCTGGGGTGTGGGAAGTACAGTTTTAACTCTCCAATCTTGGTGGTGCCTCAGGGAGTCGGGGAGAGTGCTGAGACACCTATCTGTAAAATCTGCCCCAACAGATGAAAAGTGGGGAATGTTGTCAGTCATTTTGTGTGAAGGTTTACTCTGACCTGATTTACATCCTAGATGACTAACCTCTCCCTGTAGAGGGACATAATGGATATATTCTTTGGTTGTAGGTCTCACAAGTAGGAGCTCATTTGGCCTTTTTTGAATAATTATGGGTACTAGCAAAGGCAAGCTTCTAATTTTCTAATACAAATCACACTTAGCTGTGTTCTTTTAAAAAGAGATTTAGGGTTTTTTATTTTATTTAAAAAAAATAGGCTGAAGTAGAGCAGTTGGAAAGGATGAGAAATACCATGCCAGAGACTAGATGATACCCAGTTGTAGCTGGCGTCTTTGGAGTTAAAATGACTCAAGCTAAATCTATTTAAATATCATTTCTAAAAATTGTACTCTAACCTCACCTGTAGCTTGAGAAAAACTTCCCTGAATATGTCATGAAATACTGTAAGTCAAAAGGTTTATAATTTATAATAAATAAAATGCGAGGTGTTGTATTAGAGTCTCTAACTGAATATAACATGTTTGGGGTATGCTTTGCTAAGAATTAATTTCAGTTTTCTCAAGCATCTCTTCTAGAATGAATCTTCCATGTGGATATTTGTCTCACTATTTTAAAGAATTTTTTTTAAAGGTTAATAGTTTCTACCGTAGCATGTATGTATTCATTATCATGTTAAATATTTTTCAGCTCCCTTGGAAATCATTGACTAGCATCATTGAATATTATTACATGTGGAAGACTACTGACAGATACGTGCAGCAGGTAACATTCTCCTATTGCTACCAGTACAAGTGCATTAAAGCAACTCTGTTTATATTTTAGTATTTCTTAGCAAGATACTTAATTTTAAGTTTGTTTTGTTTCTTTATCTTTTCTAGACTATGTTAAACTACATTATTTCATATCCTTAAAAGTGTTATTCTAAGATGTTAGTCTTAACATTTTCTTTACCTCAGAATTGATTATGATAAATATTTGGGAAGATGGCAGGGAAAGATACCACAAGAGAGGTACCGTTTCCCTGCAGATACCTGGTACTGGTACTTCATTGCTTTGTGCATATGGTTGGTGGGAATGACCTAAGAGTGATGCTAACACAAACCATTTGAACATGAAATACTGAAAATTTAGAACAATGCCATGAGTCATGCAGTTGGAGATATTTTGAAAGATTTCCTGAAGCCTCCTTTGTGTGGACATATCTTTGACTGTAGTAGTCAGTTTTGCTAGTTTGGTGTTTGGTCCTGTACATAAATTTTCCTCCAAAATTAATTTCTGAAAGCAGGGAATCATTTATTTTTGAGTCCATCCCAAATTGAGATAATTCTCTCAATTACTTACTATGAGTGCTAATACTTTTGGGGAAACTGTACATTTTCCTGAAGTGACCTCAGTCAATACTTGTTTTCATATTCCTCTAGTAACTTGTCAGAACTGGTAAAGAAAGGAACAAATATTTAACAGAGTATGTAATCATAGTGATCACATGATGGCAAGTGTTGGATGCTGTAAAAACACATTCTAAGGATCATTTTAAAAATTACCATAGTGAGTTGCTGAGGTCATGAAGAGTAAATAGATACCCATGGCTTAATGAAAAATTTCCAGTGCCAAAATCATATATAATTCAAAAAGTTCTTATTTCAAACAACTTATGTAGAAGTGAAGAGTGCTCTGGAAACCTGTATTATTCAAAGCAAAGAGAGACCCTAAAGATGGTGCAGACGTTGGCATCAAGGATGGTTGGAAAGTGTTTGGATAAATAATGTCCAAAAGTTTCAGCTCCATCTCTGAAAGTTTTAAGATGTCTCCCTAAATGTTCTTGTTTTCTCCCCTTGAGAAAATAGGAGGATTGATTGCCTCATATTCTGGTTTGCCTTATTTTGGGGTATCTACCATATAATATTTTCCTTCTCTATTGGCATTCTTTATTTTGTCAATCAATCTCTATATTTGATTACATGATTTTTTCCCCATTCCCCTCCCTGCATTTGTGCCTAAAGGGTTCCTAAAATCTAGTAAGTTCAGCCAAGCTTAAAGTTTACTTCAAATCTCCCAACATTTGAGGGTAAATGCTTATTTCATTGTACTTAGAATAGTTAATATCCCTTTCTTTTGCATGAATTTTGGAAATTAATCATCTCTGAATATTTTCCTAAAAGCAAAGATTTTGTGTGGGTTATTTTTCCTTCAAGAAAGGCAAAAAAGAAACACAGTAGAAACTAAATTTGAAAAGTAAAAATGGTTAAAGTCCTATTTATTCACTCATAGGGGAATGGGAAATGGAGTTGTTCATTTATTTTTAAAATCTATGTCTAAAATGTTATTAATACTTGTAGTTCTGTACCTCAGAATCTAGTAACTTTTCTTGTAAATAACTAGTTTAAGAATATGTACATGAAAGAAAAACTCATCTTAAAATGGCAAGGTTTGAATTTGCTTTACTGTTTCATTTTCTTGTGAATTTTTTTAAGACAGTGAAGTGGCAATAATTATTAGGCATTGTACGTAAAATATTTTGTCTGTCTTTTGAATTAGAAACGTCTAAAAGCAGCAGAAGCTGAGAGTAAACTGAAACAAGTGTATATCCCAACTTAGTAAGTAATGGAGATCTTGCAAAAGTATTTGTTACGGTGTTAATTCTGTCAAAACAACATTATGTCATTTGGGTCAGTTTCAGCCAAATTTGAATTTCTTGGTGTATCTTATTTCTTCCACTACAGAGTATGAGACTTGCTTTCCATTATGCCACTACAGTGATTTTTTTAGAAGGTAAAATGGTTGGGGTGGGAGAAACCTCAAGCAGCCTAACAAAAGGGACTAGAGGAAGAAGCCATGTACTGTGCGTCTATCACAGTTGCAGGGAAAGGGTCAGAAAACTAACCTGTGAAACTATTAATTGAAGCCAGTGTGTTTCAGAAAGCTAGAAAGGTTGAAACTTCTGCATGATAGAATGGATTTTATGTGGGTAATGTACATTAGAGGTATGTTGTTTATTTGGTGGAGGATTTTATATTGTTTGTCTGGAGGGAGGGTTAGGGGAAGGTAGTTAGAACCATACTATATGAATGTTGGATAAACAAATTTCAGTTGGCTCACATGTCCAGCATTCTGTCATTGCCCTTTGGGTTTAGAAATCATTGTTGTATCGAAATGAATGCCAGTTTTCTTCCTATTTGCTCTATTTTAAATGACTTCTACTCTTTTTTTGAGGTCTTTAGAGTTAGTTCCATAATTCATTTGTTCAGGAAAATTTAGTTACTGAGCACCAGGTATATAGTGCTAAGTTCGGTTCTTTGGGAATTGAAATGTATTGTTATGTACTGTTTATGTAAAGCTCATTCATTGAGCTCAGTATAGTTGTTTTATACCTAGCCTTTTGTTTAGTGAGTTTTGATATATTAATACATATTTGTTTATACACGAGGCTTCACAGACCATGAATTGCAGTATTCTTTGTTAATCTTTTGTCTCAAGGCAGATAATTTACAATGTAATTTACATTGTCTATCATTTTTATTCGGAACTGTAATGTCCCTTCTGCACAGTGGTTTCTAATATTTAGAAAATTGTGTATTTTATTTGACTAATTTATGAAAGAACAACTTCCCAAAAAAAAACACTGTTGTAATTCATGTGTTCTAGATTTTCAAAAGCAAGCATACCAGCTTTCTTGTACTTTGTAATGCTGTCACATCAAAGGAAAAGTACATATAACTAGTTTTCACCAGGTAACCCAGATAATTGCTTCTATTCTTTTTTTGCATTGACTTTAGAGTCTTGATCTAAGTCAGAGACCAACAAACTATAGTCTTCAGTTCATATCTGACCTGCCATCTGTTTTTGTGAATAAAGTGTTACTGGAACACAGTCATACTCATTAATTTATGTATTGTCTGTGTCTCCTTTCGTGCTACAATGGCAGAGTTCAGTGGTTGTGACAGAAATTATAAAACCCACAAAGCTTAAAATATTTGCTATGCCAACCCCTACATGAATGATTTTCTAGAGATCAAGACTGAATTTCAAGTCATACTTTTTATTTTTAAAAAGTCATATAAATTGTATACATAAATAGAAGATGCCAAGGTACATTATTGAGTTAGATAAGAACCTGAGTCCTTTGAAGGATTTCCCAGTAAGCTCCAAAATAGAATATTATGAAGAATTATTTTACACTGTCGTTCTCTTGAACCTGGCAGTCTCCTTTATGCAAAGCACTCTGGTCAGTGCCAGAGATAGAAAAGTTAAGACAGCAGGCTGCATCCTAGCGAGGGGGAGACAGATGCGAAACAGCATTGCTCACCTGGTGTAATGAATACTGTGATAGAGAAGGATAGCTTTTATGAGAATTTATACTGACAATTTTTGAGAGAAGGATAGCTTTTATGAGAATTTATACTGACAATTTATGAGGTGTATAATTTATTAGAATCAAACTTCTATTAGAATTTATCAGTTGACATGATCAGGAGAGATTCCTTATGGAAGTGAGTTTGAGTGAACTCCCGAGGAAGAGGAGGAATTAACCACGTGATAGGGCTGCTGCTGAGAGGGAGGCAGTGAGGGTGGTGGGAAGAGAGAGGGATGAACCAGTATGGAAGGCAAGGGCCAGTAGTTTACCCATCAAACAGTGGATTATGAACAAAGTGTTATGATTAAATTTGCACTTGAAGGTCACTGGCTGTGTTTCAGAAAATGGTTTGGGGAAGGGGAGTACAAGTGGATATAAGGAGCCCAATTAAGAAGTTTTGGGAGAGGAAAGATGACAGCAGCTTGACCTAGAATGTGGCGTGCTATGTGGAGGTGACTGGCTTACATGAGGTTCAGAAGGGAGATGTCAAGGTTGAGTCCTAGGTTTCTGGCTAGTACAACTCAGTGGATTGCTGTGCTATTCACCAAGCTGGGAAACCGTGGCAGAGAAGCAGGTTAGGTCATTTTGAGTTCACTCTGTCCGAAAAGAAGTATTGAATATGCTGTTGTATATATTGGTCTTAAACTCTGGATACATTTCTGTGACAGAGACACAAATTTGAGCTTCACCAGCATATAATACTGTTTGAAACCATGGATATAATACTTAAGAAAAGCAATAAGAAAAAAGGGCCTTGGACCAAGAAATCTAGTATTTATATATCAGGGTAGGATAGCAAGGTGAGTGTACTATCACAGAAACTGAGAAAGGAGGGTGTTTCAAGGAGGCAAAGAGATTAACTGTCAGATACTGATGTTAGAACACCAGGGACTTTAGCCACATCGAGGCCACTGGTAATCCGTAAAGTAGTGATGAGAACTGTGTAGGAGCAGAGGAATGCTGCAGATAGTGACTATTGGCTGCCCTTGGGACAACTGGCTGGAAAGGACAGTTAAGAGAGAGAGCTCTTGGCTTTGAGGGGTAGGTTGGGGTAGAGTAATGGGAGAAGACTTCCCATTAATACGTTACAGAAATTATTATCATGAACAGTCAAACCTCCTGAAATGCTAACTTACCTCTAGAGATCTGCCCTGTACACCCACAGTCTCTTTGTTGAACATAGAGTTTGTGCTGTCCTTTGAGAACCACTACATAGAGTCAACAGCTTTTATATCAGTAGCAGGAATGGGACAGTGTTTTTCTGTTAATATATAACACACAGGCTTTGGTTAATTTATTTGATTGAAAAATTATTTCATTTTCTCATGAAAATTTATGGTGGGTGATACAGCTAACTTGTATCTTCCAAAAGTATCAGAGGGTGTTCTAAGGAAATTGTATTTGGATGGAGAAAAGGTGCAGCTGTATTTGTTTTGTGAGTGTCAGGCAATTAGAAATTGGTTTTCATATAGCCTTGCCTTGTAATGAGTGGTTTGAGTTTATTTTAACACCTTACTTTTTACCAGTTTGATTCCTTCTTTGCCAAACATTCAGATGTTCATGTGTATCTAAGATAAATCAGTAATGAGATGTAAAATAAAGCCTTTTGTGTTATTGTACAAGTCATTTTTATTATCTCACTTTGTATTTCATTGAAAGCAGCAAACCGAATCCCAACCAAATAGCGGCCAGCAATGGCAAAGCTGGTGCTCTGAATGGAGCTGTGGGGGCCACATTCCAGCCACAGAATGCCCTCTTAGGGCGAGCCTGTGAGAGCTGCTATGGTGAGTTTTCTCTAGCAGGGCTTTATTTTCTCCTCTGAGGCCTGTCTTTGCAGAATTGTGGGGTGGGGCGGAGTGTTGAGCAGCTTTCTCTAGGTACACGTGGTCAGTACTGTGCAAAGTAACATAGCCTCGGAGTAAACGTGCCTATCCTTACCTTCTGCTTGAACACTAAAGTTAGGTATTGGGCTTCTTTGATTTGCTTCTCTGAGGTCCTGTGTTTGTTGACTATTTCATGCAGTGTTTGCTAAGTTGCATTCAGAGTTATTAAAAAGCTTTGTGCAATCCATGGCCCCGTGAAATATACCAAATCCCTTGCTGGAGTTTCTCAGTGTACTTTGACACATTAAAGATTCCAAGTAATTCTGTAGGAAAGACCTGTGTGTGGATAAACTGCTGTTCATAATCCTCAGACCAGCTTCCCAAAGAGCACTGGTTTGGGAGATGCTGTTCTGTGATACTTGCTTTTGGCCTTAGGTTTCCTATCAGACACTGTAGTATTATATTTGCCCTGGATATAATAGTTTGGTGAGATGAACTGTTAGGAAGTTGATAACTTTTATTTCATTTTAAAATCACTTCTTTAAAATGAAATTTTATTTCATTTAAAATTTAAGTGGAAATAAAAAATATCCTATCTTTGACTTACAAATCATTCATACTCACGTAGTCTCACATATCCCATTGTAATAATGGGGCATTGGTGACATTATCACATATGTTTCCTTCAAAGTGGCCTGGGGTGCCAGAAAGAAGAAAATTCATTTTTATTAAACATCTACTTGGTGCCCAGTTTTTGTCACAGTGGCTCTTACAGTGGGGGGAGGTTGATGTAGCCTACTGCCCTATGGACATAGGACTGAGAGACCTTTGACACCCTGCTCCATACTTCACACCAGGCTTCAGCATTTGAAAAGGCATTTAAAACCAAATCGTGTAATTACCTTTCCTGAAGCCAGGGAAGATATGAGCTAGACAAATTGCTGACTTGGTAGAAATTGTACATGTCTAACCATTTTCTACACCATGGAAGCACAAAGGGAAACAATTTGTGGAAAATTAGATTCTTTTGATAAAGATTTCACATGGATTGTATCATAAATGTCTTCAATTTGGGAATTCTTAGATTTTGAAGTTCATTTATATTTAAATGGAAATAAAAATATCCTGTCTTATTTTTGACTTACAAATCGTTCACATTTACGTAGTCTCACATATTCCTTTAAATAATTATTTTGTCATTTTTATATGTGCATGGCAAGTGATTTTAATTTTATATTTAAGATCCATGTATTAAATCATCATAAAATGTATCTTAATAGATCTTTATAGAAAGAATTTGGCATTTTCTACTTGTCACTTTTTCATTGATTTTGACTCAATTATATAAGAAGAAAGACATTTGTTGCCAAATATTAAAATGACATGACTGTTAGGTTGAGTAAAAAGTATGTTTAAATATGAGTCAAATTTTATATTCTGAATTCAGAATAGGTCCATGCCTAATATTTAGGATTCTTAAAATTTGTGTTAAAATATCAACTTTGCTTATTTTATTATTCTTTTTAAGTTATAAGAGGAATTGTTTTTAGACTGCTAATTGCAAAGAGTCCTCTCAAAATAACACATGTTGGCTGCACAGGATTTTTCTCAATAAACTAAGAGGCAGTTTGATTAGAATGGTCACTATATTTTCTCTTTTTGATATTGGTGGGTAACGTGTTAGTTGACACCTTTGATGTGGTGTTTGAACGTTCTGACCTGATGAAGGTAACTTACAGATCATAGGACTGTTCCAAGGCAAACTTAACAAAGTTATAATAATTTTTATGTACCTCATTACTTCAGTGTCATTGTTTTCTATTAAACTTCAAATCTATTGTGAGAACATTTTCAGTGTTAAATGGCAGTAATTAAAACTTCAGAACAATACTTGATACAGGCTTGCAGTGCTTATCTAAGTGATAAATCAATGGAGTTATTAGGTCTTAAGCATGCTGCATTCTTAGCTGCAAATATGGACTTACAGTCTTGAAAGATTCTGTTTTTAAAGGGAGAAATACTCAAATTACTGTGTCTCTTGATTAAAATAAAGATATGGAAAACAGATACCTATTTCTGTCAGATTCCTTTCCTGCCTTTGTTCATTGGGACTGCCCTGAGCACCTCAGACCTGGATTCAGACTTTGAACATTAACAACACCTTTCTGGTAACTTATTTCAAGAAATGTACAAGTTAGAAGATATTTTTAATTAACAAAAAATCCCTCAGCAACAGCAAAATGTTTATTTTAGGATGCTTCATGTAATAACCTTTCTTAATAGCAGCTATAGGCACTTGATAATATAGAAATAAATGGTTTAATGAATTCTGACTTGAAAAAAATGCGTACATTATTAAACTTTAATGTTTGGTAAACTGGGGAAAATAAAATAACATTGTAAACTGGAGATGGCTTTGGAATATTTAAAACATTTTTGATTAATGTGTATTGAAGTTACAAATTATATACCATCCTTTAGTTTTTCTTATTTTTCCTCCATCTTTAGCTACACAGTCTCATCAGTGGTATTCTTGGGGCCCACCTAATATGCAGTGTAGATTATGTGCAACCTGTTGGCTTTATTGGAAAAAATACGGAGGCCTGAAAATGCCCACCCAGTCAGAAGAAGAGAAGTTATCTCCCATCCCAACTACAGAGGTACATAAGTAATAGTCTTCTTAATGTAGAAACGTTACATTTTCAAAGGCTGGATCACTCCTTGGAAACACAAATACAGGGTAGGGTAACTTAAAATGAACAAAGGTGTTTTTATAGTGAAACATAAACCACGATGTTTAATGTGGGTATGGGGAGAGGGGAGGGACAAATCAAATTTTTTTAGGTATTGAAAATACTGGTCTTCTGAGATTGATTACTCAGACAAAAGAACAGCATATGTAGTAGATGTTAGTGCAAATAGAGAGCTTACAAGTAAAATGCTTTCTTTTTTTGAGAACAGTTTGCAGCCTTTAGATGCTATTGAAAATGTCTCTTATTACCTGAAGTAATAAATACAAACTGAACGTTTTGTACCTGTCCCTGGGCTATCATAGGAGGGAAAAGAAGGTATGGACTCAATCTTGAAATGAGCAACAGTTCAAATATGATTTTGGTAAAATTCTCATAGACTGCAGATGTCAAGCACCTATATCTACCAGAGACTTCATTTTGAGTGCTAACAGGGTCTCAGGACTCGGTAAATTAAAAAACAAAATAAAATAATCTTATTAACTGCCTTGGCAATTTTTTACTAATGTGAATGTGATTTTGGTCAGTTAAAAAAATAAAAGCAAAGGATCCACAATCTCCACCCAGTTTCCTTCTCTACACTCCCTACTTTCCTACCAAAATCCACTTTTAAAAATTTTCTCTTTCAGGGTAGGGAGTTAAGTTACAGATGCTTCAGCGGAAGACTTAAAAATCGCACTTTCATTGGAAGTGATGCACTTAGTATTGTACTTGGACAAGTTCTGTTCTTGACATGTTTGTTGGTGTCTGATTTTGCAGGACCCACGGGTTAGAAGTCACATGTCTCGCCAGGCCATGCAAGGGATGCCAGTCCGAAACACTGGGAGCCCAAAGTCTGCAGTGAAGACCCGCCAAGCTTTCTTCCTTCATACTACATATTTCACAAAATTTGCTCGTCAGGTCTGCAAAAATACCCTCCGTCTGCGGCAGGCAGCAAGACAGCCGTTTGTCCCTATTAATTATGCTGCCATTAGGGCAGAATGTAAGATGCTTTTAAATTCTTAACCTTATATGTTGTGCTTCTGACCATTTTCTCTCTTTCCCGCTCTCTTTTGTTTGTTTGTTTTGTTTTGTTTTTGTTTGCAATAAACATAAGTTCTTGTGTACAGCCTTTTATTTGGTTTTTTTTTTATCATTGTTTTTGTCTGCTGCCATTTGTATCATGCCAGCCCAAAAAGGAGACATTGAAACCTTTGCCATCTTTAGGAGTAGGGCTCAGCAAAAGGCTGGAGGGAGATGGTCCTATCCAGTGGGCTTTTAGATGGGATTGCCTGAGGAGCCCTTGCTGAGGCACTTCTACTTATGAGGTAGTGTCCCTGAATAATCCGCAAGGATGGTATTACAATGAAACCCCGTATTTGAGACATGCAGTGCAGTGATACATGAATTCATTAGGTTTGAATAAAACTTGCCAGTTTACACTAATTAGAAATTGTTTGTCTTTGTAAACCACATTTTCCCACAAACCATTTACTGTTGTTGGAGAATAATATGGAAATTCACAGTGCTTCATAACACTATATTTACTAGAAGTTTTAGCAGAATATAAATAAGTTTTAATGTCTTTGGGGTGAATTTTCTGAAAATACACATTTAGTTTTAACGAGCTAGTGTCAAATTTGTGGTAGAGTGTTCTTTTTGTGCCATTTGGTTTCCATTTCATAGTCATATATATATTACCACATAACATGTACATGACTTTATTACTCTCATTTTCAACACATTCAGTCTTGCTTATGTTTCATTTTTTTGTTAGAACCAAGGTCAAATATACCAATGAATTGTGGATTATTCTCTTACTACTATGTACCCCTAAATGTGTCCATAACTTGTATGTTAGCTCTGATTCTAGTCTTGCTACTTTTAGTCACATTTCTTGCTAGCATGTTTCAACCATGCAACTCTTCTCCCCTAAAGGATGAGAAAAACTTGCTGTTTGGCTTAATGAGTAGGAAATCTTAAATACATAAGTAGATGTTTTTCTCTGTGAGATTAGAAATTTGTTATTATGGGATGATGTTCCATTTTGATTTAAAGAGGGTATCCATAAAAGGAGTGATGATAAAAAATGCTTTTATCTAAAAATAATTTTCAACAGAATGGTTGAAGAGCTTTTAAGCTTACAGGTAAAAAGCTTTATAAAACAATAAAAGTGCTTTGTAAAGGGAGTGATGATTGGTAGCAATCTCTGGATCCCATGGAGTGAAAATTTTGCTACATTCGACTCACATATATCTTAGAATTTAGGCTTATATTGAGGTTTCATGCTAGTGTTTCTGAATATATGGATTTATGTTACCACTTTCTTACCTGTTTTAAGGAACTCAAAAATATTCATCAAAACTGCTTTGATGAAAAACATGTACCTTTATATATAATTTCTTAAAAGTACAATAAACATACAAGAAAAAAAAATGCAATTTTTCTGTTAAAATTGGCCAGGATCCAGTACCATCTTTGTTCCTATGAATGGAAAAAAAATCATCAACCAACTAAATTGGCTGCTAATGAAGCTTCTGTTTCCCATGGCTGTTCTGTTAATTTCTCTGTTAAGTTGCACATTGTCTTTATTTTGGTTATTCTTCAATGAAGTATATTTTCCTGTCACCTCATTTTAATTTTCTTCAATTGAAAGGCCATGCTGTTTAAAAAGTCAAAATTAAGCACCCATATTTTATTTCTATAAACATACAGCAATAAAAATAATGATAGTAATAAAAAACAGCCATTTGTTGTAATGAGATTCAAGGAACTTATTTTAAGTTGTATTTGGCTTCATTGGTTAAGATACATGTAGAATGAGATTCTCAGAATAATTTTACCTTGAAATTTAGCATTATAACACCTCAGCCATCAACTTTTTTTTTTTTTAATCAAACTTCTATGAGAATTTATCAGTTGACATGATCAGGAGAGATTCCTTATGGAAGTGAGTTTGAGTGAACTCCCGAGGAAGAGGAGGAATTAACCACGTGATAGGGCTGCTGCTGAGAGGGAGGCAGTGAGGGTGGTGGGAAGAGAGAGGGATGAACCAGTATGGAAGGCAAGGGCCAGTAGTTTACCCATCAAACAGTGGATTATGAACAAAGTGTTATGATTAAATTTGCACTTGAAGGTCACTGGCTGTGTTTCAGAAAATGGTTTGGGGAAGGGGAGTACAAGTGGATATAAGGAGCCCAATTAAGAAGTTTTGGGAGAGGAAAGATGACAGCAGCTTGACCTAGAATGTGGCGTGCTATGTGGAGGTGACTGGCTTACATGAGGTTCAGAAGGGAGATGTCAAGGTTGAGTCCTAGGTTTCTGGCTAGTACAACTCAGTGGATTGCTGTGCTATTCACCAAGCTGGGAAACCGTGGCAGAGAAGCAGGTTAGGTCATTTTGAGTTCACTCTGTCCGAAAAGAAGTATTGAATATGCTGTTGTATATATTGGTCTTAAACTCTGGATACATTTCTGTGACAGAGACACAAATTTGAGCTTCACCAGCATATAATACTGTTTGAAACCATGGATATAATACTTAAGAAAAGCAATAAGAAAAAAGGGCCTTGGACCAAGAAATCTAGTATTTATATATCAGGGTAGGATAGCAAGGTGAGTGTACTATCACAGAAACTGAGAAAGGAGGGTGTTTCAAGGAGGCAAAGAGATTAACTGTCAGATACTGATGTTAGAACACCAGGGACTTTAGCCACATCGAGGCCACTGGTAATCCGTAAAGTAGTGATGAGAACTGTGTAGGAGCAGAGGAATGCTGCAGATAGTGACTATTGGCTGCCCTTGGGACAACTGGCTGGAAAGGACAGTTAAGAGAGAGAGCTCTTGGCTTTGAGGGGTAGGTTGGGGTAGAGTAATGGGAGAAGACTTCCCATTAATACGTTACAGAAATTATTATCATGAACAGTCAAACCTCCTGAAATGCTAACTTACCTCTAGAGATCTGCCCTGTACACCCACAGTCTCTTTGTTGAACATAGAGTTTGTGCTGTCCTTTGAGAACCACTACATAGAGTCAACAGCTTTTATATCAGTAGCAGGAATGGGACAGTGTTTTTCTGTTAATATATAACACACAGGCTTTGGTTAATTTATTTGATTGAAAAATTATTTCATTTTCTCATGAAAATTTATGGTGGGTGATACAGCTAACTTGTATCTTCCAAAAGTATCAGAGGGTGTTCTAAGGAAATTGTATTTGGATGGAGAAAAGGTGCAGCTGTATTTGTTTTGTGAGTGTCAGGCAATTAGAAATTGGTTTTCATATAGCCTTGCCTTGTAATGAGTGGTTTGAGTTTATTTTAACACCTTACTTTTTACCAGTTTGATTCCTTCTTTGCCAAACATTCAGATGTTCATGTGTATCTAAGATAAATCAGTAATGAGATGTAAAATAAAGCCTTTTGTGTTATTGTACAAGTCATTTTTATTATCTCACTTTGTATTTCATTGAAAGCAGCAAACCGAATCCCAACCAAATAGCGGCCAGCAATGGCAAAGCTGGTGCTCTGAATGGAGCTGTGGGGGCCACATTCCAGCCACAGAATGCCCTCTTAGGGCGAGCCTGTGAGAGCTGCTATGGTGAGTTTTCTCTAGCAGGGCTTTATTTTCTCCTCTGAGGCCTGTCTTTGCAGAATTGTGGGGTGGGGCGGAGTGTTGAGCAGCTTTCTCTAGGTACACGTGGTCAGTACTGTGCAAAGTAACATAGCCTCGGAGTAAACGTGCCTATCCTTACCTTCTGCTTGAACACTAAAGTTAGGTATTGGGCTTCTTTGATTTGCTTCTCTGAGGTCCTGTGTTTGTTGACTATTTCATGCAGTGTTTGCTAAGTTGCATTCAGAGTTATTAAAAAGCTTTGTGCAATCCATGGCCCCGTGAAATATACCAAATCCCTTGCTGGAGTTTCTCAGTGTACTTTGACACATTAAAGATTCCAAGTAATTCTGTAGGAAAGACCTGTGTGTGGATAAACTGCTGTTCATAATCCTCAGACCAGCTTCCCAAAGAGCACTGGTTTGGGAGATGCTGTTCTGTGATACTTGCTTTTGGCCTTAGGTTTCCTATCAGACACTGTAGTATTATATTTGCCCTGGATATAATAGTTTGGTGAGATGAACTGTTAGGAAGTTGATAACTTTTATTTCATTTTAAAATCACTTCTTTAAAATGAAATTTTATTTCATTTAAAATTTAAGTGGAAATAAAAAATATCCTATCTTTGACTTACAAATCATTCATACTCACGTAGTCTCACATATCCCATTGTAATAATGGGGCATTGGTGACATTATCACATATGTTTCCTTCAAAGTGGCCTGGGGTGCCAGAAAGAAGAAAATTCATTTTTATTAAACATCTACTTGGTGCCCAGTTTTTGTCACAGTGGCTCTTACAGTGGGGGGAGGTTGATGTAGCCTACTGCCCTATGGACATAGGACTGAGAGACCTTTGACACCCTGCTCCATACTTCACACCAGGCTTCAGCATTTGAAAAGGCATTTAAAACCAAATCGTGTAATTACCTTTCCTGAAGCCAGGGAAGATATGAGCTAGACAAATTGCTGACTTGGTAGAAATTGTACATGTCTAACCATTTTCTACACCATGGAAGCACAAAGGGAAACAATTTGTGGAAAATTAGATTCTTTTGATAAAGATTTCACATGGATTGTATCATAAATGTCTTCAATTTGGGAATTCTTAGATTTTGAAGTTCATTTATATTTAAATGGAAATAAAAATATCCTGTCTTATTTTTGACTTACAAATCGTTCACATTTACGTAGTCTCACATATTCCTTTAAATAATTATTTTGTCATTTTTATATGTGCATGGCAAGTGATTTTAATTTTATATTTAAGATCCATGTATTAAATCATCATAAAATGTATCTTAATAGATCTTTATAGAAAGAATTTGGCATTTTCTACTTGTCACTTTTTCATTGATTTTGACTCAATTATATAAGAAGAAAGACATTTGTTG